GCTTTTTAAATAAAAATAGATACTCCAACTAAAGGAGATTTTAAAAAAATCAAAAGGTAGTGAAGCCCTAGATGCACAAACAGCACCAAAAGCAAAGTATTTACTAAATTAAGTGTGTTAGCAGTTCAGAATGCACAATAAGTTCACTTGAATATTCTTCTCTACTTCTCTCCAGCTGTAAAACCTTGTTGAAACATTGGCAAGGGCATCTCTCAAAATTATGTGCATTTTGTCAGGGTCTACAAATGGTAAACAAGGTTCTGGCAGAAGAGTCCAGAGGGAAATTTACTGTTCAATGGTGGTATCAAGCTGAAAACGAGACTCATGGTGGGTATTTTATGAGGAAAAAAAGAAATTGGGTTAATGTGAGATTTTCAGTATTATCAAAAAAAATCATCTATCGTTTACTGAAAGGCTTCTAGCTAATAGACTGCAAAGAAGGTGAGTTATCTTAAATATGTTATATAACCACAGAGATGAGGTCAGTTCACTGAGTTCATAGATCAAATTTATTAAAAATAATCCATCCTCTACCTATTCAAAAGAAAAAAAGCCACTCTCTAAAATTTGTTAGGAATAAATCCTGAGATTTTTCTAACTGTGGTAATGATATAAATACTTATTGTTAGGTCTCCTTAGGTGTCTTAGAAGCTTTACTGCCTAAGTTAAAACAAAACAAAAGAAAACTGCTAAGTCTATAAGACTGAAAGTAATTTAAAGTTGTCTGCAAGACAAGAAGCAAAAAGTCAAATAATAATTAAAGGAATCTTCAGTTTTCTTTCCCAGATCTACTCCAGAAATTTGTAGATTCACTTTTCAAAATCAGAAAATGAATGTGTTTGGAAGCATATGGAGAACTGAATTTTTTTCCCAACATACACATGAGACAAATTATAAGCGGAAAACTCAGGGGAAAAAGCTGCAGTAGATCAAAAAGTGCAGATAACACATCAAAATCCAAGAAGTCTGGCAGAGAACACTAATTTGACGATAAAAGTGGAAGGAACTCATACACAAACTTATCTTTCAGGAAAACAAGTACTCGAATTTAAACTGGCAGGATGTCAAAATACTAAATCACCCCAGTAGCTCTATCTGGAATTTACAGTACTGAAGCAAAATGTCATTTTTACTATTTCAGTTAGGAAACATTTCTTCATTATTGTAGGATGAACATGCAAAATGCACACTTGAGTACTTCATCTCCTCTGAACCTTTTAGAGAAATTTATCAAAATATATAAAAAATAAGGAGAAAAAATAGCAGCAAAGGTTATCTTCATCAAAGGGTCTGTGCTTCAGGACCGAACTTAATTCACTTTTTCATTTACTATGCCTCCTTAGCCTCACAAAGTAAGCACAGTCTATTCCTGTAACTAGAAAGCCTAAGGAAAACGCTTAACAAACAAAACAGCTGAATGCCTAGAAAGTTCAAGGGGAAAATACCTGACTAGACTTTCTGCAAGTTATTAAAAATAACTGCTGGTACCCACTATGAAGTTATAAATTCTGTTCTTTACATTCGTTTCCAGGAATATACACTAAGACTACTTACTACATAATACAGACTAAAAAGGGTACTTCACAGGTAAACAGATTCATAACCATTTTAACAGCTTTGTATAGAATTCTTTCTATTACACGTGAAGCCTATGAATTACGGCATCAACTCCCTTCTCCAGTAATAAAAAAAATTACTATCTCAACAATTACTATTACTATTAATTACTATCTCAACAATTCGCATTTTTCAGTTTCTATGTTTTTAAAGCAGAGCACATTTTCCAGTAGAAAAAAAAAAGTATCTGTTTACAACCTTCTTATCATAATCAATTTAAATGAGCATTGTTTTGCCTAGACTTTATCCTCTCAGATGATTTTACAAAGACTTCCAAAATTCAAAAACAGGTTTCAAGTTAAACAACTCTAAAAATTTGTAATTATCAACTTTCTGCTATTCTGAGCATCTTCAATTTGCAAAGCATGGCATATAAACAAGCATGAAATACTGTATTGCAGAGCCTCCTCATCCACAAGCACAGGTAAAAAGCTGACCTGACACATGAACAGCTTTAGTAAGTCAGACAACACAGAATCTGCACTTTAGGGTTATGACACAAGGGAACAACTGAAACAAGAAGGACAGAATTGGGAACCTGCTCACAGCCATTAAGTTGAAATCTTAGTTTTGAGAAAACAAGCAGGGAGAATACAAAAGCAGTTCCATGCACATGATCACTGCCACTGCTGACAACCTTTGGAATTTATTGGGTTACTGCTGCTGTCAAGGTGCCAAAGCAAGAAATTTAGGAACGTGTAAAATAGTCTGAGAATTAGGAAATTAACTCCAATTGGCACTATCACTTCTGGCACAGATCTCTTCAGCAGAGCTTCTATTCTACTTTTTAAATTTATGACCAAGTTAAAAATATCCCTACTGCCAAATTATTGTAAGATACCCTGAAACCTTGATCTGTGCAATTACACCTATTCACATGCATATGAAGTCAGATAAATAAGAACAGGAATAAACTATCTCAAGGTTCCTAGAATGCCTTTTGGCAATGGTTGTGAACTTGGAACAGCTGTCCCAGCTCCAGTGCTTACACTCAAGGAATGCAACTCTGCTGTTCAAAGTAAGACACACACATATACACAGATCCCAAAGCAAATTGGGAAGGCGGGGGGGAAGTCAACCTGTATATTCAGTGAACAAGAGAACATATATTACACAGCCAGACCCATCTGCTCATAGAGTAACCAGCACAGTGGGTTTTCACTTGCAGGTTACTCAAACATCAATTTGCTACAAACAGGATGTATAAACATGGTCATGAGAAAAACGCTGACAAATTCATAAACTACAATGGTTCAGAACAATGAAGTCACAAAGAGCAAAGGCCAACAGCTTCAAGCGTCTTTCTCGGTCAAGAATTTAGATAGGCTTGTTCTTATTACTAGGGGAGAAGAGGGGAAGAAGGGGGGAATTTTACCCAGGACTACTTTAACTTGTAAGTATGCACCACAGAGAGTGCAGTGGAATAGTAAACCACTCAAAGAGGGCACAGTAAAAATCTGGGCAAAGAAAACCTTGGAATACAACAAGTAAAATATATTTCTAGAAATATTACAATACATATTGTGTATGACATCTACCCTTATCAGGCAAAGGATTTTTAGGACTGGCATACCACATACCAACACTAAACAGAAACAAACAAGAAACAAGCTCATTTTTCTGAACACCATGTAAATTCTGTTTTCACATATGTTGCAGAGAGATGCAGAGTCATGGTGTTTCAAGCTGTGAGTTTCAAGCTACCTGTAGTTTTCCCAGAGCAGAACTCCTTCCCACTCTGACAACTTTGCAGCAAGTTTACATCTGCTTGCCAGCCAAAGAGACAAGACATCAAATTTACAGTAGTTGGTCAGTGAAAGACTTATTTCAGCAAAACCAATAGTGACAGCTGGCGAGTTCTCTTTAGTCATGCTTCACAAAGGTATGTTTCCTATAATGCACAAATATTTTTTTTAATTTTACATTACACCATATTGACATTTCCTTAAATAAACAGTTTTGATGACTAGCTGCTTTCAAATCTGTCATACCAACACAACCTTCATTCAAATAGCTGTATCTGCAAAGAAGTATCTCTGTTGCTAAGGGATACTGAAAATAAACCCCTTCACAGGTCCACCTAAAAAAAAAGCATCTAAAAGCAAAAAGTATCAATTCACCTGACAATTTCTTCCACACTCTGCACTAGCAACTTCAGAGGTCCCACAACCTTAAGAATGAGGTGGAAGTCCTCGCACCCAAATGACCACCATTTACCAGTATGTTGCCAAAAATACTTAAGCATCTATTCTAATAAACGCTAGCCCCAGAAGCGTTTTAACTTTGGTTATAAGGCCCTATTTTACCTAGTTTACTACTTTAAAGTGTGACACAGCAAATTTACTACACTACACTGAACATAGTTCACTACCAGCACACGGTTTTCCAGTCACATTCATAGCCATTCATTTTAAGTGACTACTGATACACACTTTTTTAACAGCCATTCCCACGGTTTTGGCTAAGGACGGGAAGAACTTTGGACAAGTACAGAAGATAATATGAAAGAATGCAGTCAATATTCAGTTTTATCCTCGCTGACCTGCACGCCCATTTAATTATGAGATTCCAACAAGAGCCCATTACCTCTCTCCCTTGTCTAAGAGCGGCCCTACTAGCAAACCCGTGAGCCAACACAGAGCGCAACTCACGGAGAATAATACTTCAGAGCTGGTTACGTGGGGAGGGGTCCCTGGGCATTCCCACTCGCAGAGCACCCCGCTTTCCGTGCGGGCACAAGCGCGGCCCGAAGAACACTGGGATGGGGTGACAGGGTGCAAACACGCCGTGTAAACACGCGGGGCATTCCCCATCTCATCCCGGCCTTTCGGGGGAGGCGCACGGACGAGGTGAGGGATCCGCGAGGAGCCACCATGTCCGTCCGTCCGTCCGTCCGTCCGTCCGTTCACGCCCCGGGCCGGCCGGGACGCAGGGGCTGCCCGCTCCCCTCCTCCCGCCGCCTTGGCCCCGCTCGCTGCCGTGCCATGTCCCCGGGCCGCGGGGAAACCCGAGCCTTCCCCGCCCCGCCCTGCCAGTACCTGCGCGGGCGGTGCCACCCGCTGATCCCCAGGGAGGCGCTGGCTCATCCTCCCTCCGAGCGCCAGCGGGACACGGGTGCAGCCCCCGGACCCGCGGCCGCTCCGCCGCCCGGCACCGCCCCCTCGGCCTGGGGAGGGCGGGGATTCCCACCGCGCAGAATCGGCGCCCGTCGGGCCGCCGGGGTCAGCATCGCCGTCACTGCTGATTCTGCTTCCCGCGGTCCGCCCGGCGCGGGCCCGTCCCCCGCTCCCGCCTTGCCGCGGAGGGCGCGGCTTCCCGAAGGCCCGGCAGGGGCCCATGCCGGCCTCCCTTGCTGCGGGGGCGGGCTGAGGGCCCGGGGGGAGGCAGGACAGTCCCGCGCTTCAGAACGGGGTGGAGGCGGTTTCCCAGGTAAAGAAGGCACAGAGATGCTGGGTACATCGCGGCATCGTTCGGCTTCGGGCTAACTGCGCCGCCTCTAAATTCCAGGCGCTACGGAGGCCCGGAGAGTTTAAGGGTTTTTACCTGCAGAGAAAACGCAGGTGTCGTGCTGAGGTACCGCCAGCCGAGGTGCTGAGGCCAGTGTGCGGTTTACTTAACTCACAGCGAATTAAAGTTTCACCAAAACGTATCAAATCAAGGGGTGGATTATTTTTTCCCCCCCTAAGGAAAATGCCCGCTGGTATGTTTACGTGCAAGGCTAAGAAGCCCGAGGGCGCCGTGCGCTGTGGTACTCGGACTGAGAAAGCGTGTTGTGAATCACAAGGCTTTGGCCCATAGGTGCCATTAAGGCGCGCTTTGGAGACGGGAACGGAGTAGCCACAGGTGTAGCCCGACCCTCCCGGTAAGCGCTGCGCTCAGCCCCGCCGGGGCACGCTTCCGCATAGAGAGCCCGCCGCGGGGCTGTGCTGGGGCAGACGCATACCGCCGGTGCCGGGCTGTGCCGTGCTGCGGCTGCCGCTGAAACTCTTTTCCACGGGGGGTTCCCCCCGGAGCGCAGACACCCGCGCGCGCCCCGCCCATCACGTAACCCCGGCCGCGCGTTACCAGGGTGAAGTGCCGCTAACGCGGCCTGGGCGGGGGCAGGGCCGCGGCCCCGCCCCTGTGCGGCTCCCCCAATGGGAGCCTAGCTGCGGGGCGGGGCAGCCAATAGGGGCGGAGGGGGCGGGGCTTTGCCAGGCGCGAGGCCAGGTTGGGCGGCCGTGGCCGGCCGTGGCCGCGGCGGGCAGGTAT